ATTCAATTTTGTATGAATTGAATTCTCAATTCGAACTTTTATGACCTTTTTTTTTCACCCAAAGCTTCAGAAACGGTATATCGAGGTCTTCAGACTTCGATGTTCTTCGGCGTGTACTTACGGAACCGCATTTCTACCTTGTTATTTTGTGTGCAATGTAGCTCTGATAGCGTATATGAACAGCCGATGGATTTTCATCAATACGAGCTACAAGGTGCTCACATTCTGTACGTAGTTCCGCGGCGCTTTGACATTTTCTGAAAAAGCAGAATGGCAGCGTCTTTCACTGATACAGAGCCACGTAGGCACAATCGATTTTCTGCTCAAATTCACCAGTGAATGAGAAGATTGGCTGCAAACCACTTTTGAAGCCTCCGACTTCGAAACCTCGACCGCGTCTTCCTTAGTAGCGCCGTGCTCTTCAGCGCCCGTGTGTGCATCCATGCCATCTGGCCGTGAATAGGTGGAATGGGGTCGCTCGCAGACATCCAAGGGGGTCTGTTGAATTTGTGTGAGAGAAGAAAGGTCACTTCAAATTTCATTAAAATTAGCTATATGAGAGTCCATGTGCACACTGAACAAAAGAGCGGAGCGAGCGAGTGAGTGAGTGAGTGAGTGAGAGAGTGAGTGAGTGAGTGAGCGAGCGAGCAAGCGAGAGAACAATATTTCGACTCCTGGCTAGCTGCATGTTCCGACCAGACCGCTCAGAAGGAGAACAAGGACGTCATCTTCGTTCGGCCTCCCTGGCCTGCTAGATAGCCCAGGCCTGAGGTTTAGAAGAGCGGAGCTTAGCATCGTTTTCTGTCATCGTCCCCGGAAAAGTTCTGGGAAACCCATTTCCTCAATGGGGAAACGCCGTAGCATGATAGAATCTGGAGTAAGTAGGTAGGGCATCTTCTAAATTGCATACTTTACAGATGAAGTCTGTGTGGATTTGAGGCAGTTTCGAAGTTGCATGCGTAGGAGGAAACGCTTCAGAAACATGCAAACGATACGTCGACTAGTGCTTGCGTCAACTATCAACATATTGGGTTCAATAATATTGCATTATTCATTTCAAAGCGCTAACACCGACTTAGCAGCATTTGGGGAGACGTTGACGAGGCGTCAATTTTCGTCAGTGGCCGAGGTGTAGACGGTAGAGGCGCCGCACAGATATAAAGGCCAACCAGTTAAAGGGGAACTCCGGTTGAATTTCGTCCATACTATGATTATGCTGTTTTCAAAGAGTATTGGCGGTGTTGTAACCACTAGGGTGGTTCATTTGGCTGGACACTCGTCAATAACTTTAAATAAGCAATAAACGACGAGTATGAACAGAAACCGAAACAGGGAGCTGGTACGTCTTTATGGTTGGTATCGGATGACGACAGGGAATCCGACAACACGCCGTCACGACTGGCCGGGGTGTAAACATGGTTTATGTGCCTCTTCAGACGCGCGAAAATCAAGTTGGCGACGTCCTATGACTCGTAATCAAGCTTTGCCAGCTCGTCTGAACTTACAAGTGACAAGTTCAGCGATGACTGAACCCAAAGGCATCGCCTTTTGATCTCAATCCGCAGGCGCGTGAAGCATCTGGCTGCCCGGAATCGATCTTCTCGTTGCTCAGTAATGTGCATGCATTGCAAGACCCGACGTCAACTAAGATGAACACGCTGTATGCGGCTGACAAAACTGAACTGCATGTGCTCGTGTCATCGTCGCCTCGTAGAAGAAGGCGCGTGCTGCATCCATATGCTGCCCAGCAGGCGGAATTTCGAAAAAAGTAGGCACTGACTTCGCATATACCGACAAGAACATATGTTGAAAGTTGTTTTGAAATCGGGGAATATCGAAACATTGCCGGAGTTCCCCTTTAGGAAGATGCCCTCTGTAGAGAAGCCTCTGAAAAGCGTATTTCCGAAGCGTTGCCCTCAAACCATGGTCTCCGAGATCATCCTGTTGCCCATGGACAGGCGATCGCAGAAGTCAACCTCAGTCATCTTGCAGCGCTTGATGTGGCCTTGACTAGCAGCTGAGAAGATATCCGCGCTTCGCACAGCCTCGATCTGTGACGTCAGGAAGAGCGGCTTAGCAGCGTTTTGTGTCATCTCATGCTCATCTCTATTAGCTGGCTATGGTCACAAATTTAGCCCGTCAGGGTCGGAACAGTCGCTAATTCGGAAGTGGGAGGGAGGTTCAAAGAGATTTATTCTAACGCTGCCATTTGAAAGAATGCGTTCCCGATATCTCATACAGGGTGTCCAAGGCAACTTTAGCCAGAGTTCAAAATTAAGCCGGCACACGCAATAACGAGGCGACCAAATGCGTGTTGCTCACCGTTGCCTGGAGTTATTCAGACAATTTTTTGTTGTCAAGTATTGTTCGATTAGATCTTTTTAATTAACTGACTTTTTGAAACACGAAGGTGGTAAAAAGTTGCAATGTGAAAGTTGTAGATCGGTTTGCAAACGTCCGAATAGATAGTTGGGAACTTTATATCTGTTAAGTATTAGTTTTTTTTCTGATAATTACAAATGCCCACAAAATACAAAAAACTACCACGTGACAAACACACTCACGCATCAATGCGCACGATGATTCTAGTGCTCTTTAATGTTCCGCGTACGAACGACATGCTTCCCTCGCCCCAGTAATGACAGTGATAAGCAGTCACAGCGGTTATCGTTTTTTGTGGCCGATTGCAAAACGTGTTCATCGTAAAGCCGCCACCATCGCTGGGGCCTTGCCAAGACAGCACAATGGAGCAAATGATATGATTGTTCGTGCGCTGAACGTTAGGGAGCACTGGAAACATCCTGCCCCCTTACACATGAGCGGGTTTGTCGAGTGGTATTGTTTGTGTTTCACGGGAATTAGTAATAACAGAAAAACAGTAATACCTAACAAATATAAAGTTCAAAGCTGTCTATTCGAACGTTTTGCAAACCTATGTACAAATTTCTCATTGAAATTTTTTACCCACCTTTTTTTGAAAAGTTAGTTAATTAAACATATCTAATAAACGATATATGAGAACACAAAAAATACTCTGTCTAACTCCAGGCAATGGTGAGGAACATACAGTTGGTCGCGTCGTAATTGCTGTGCTAGCATATTTTTAAACTCTGGCTAAAGTTACCTGGGACACCCTGTATAGGTAACTACTGAAAGTGATTTGGCGTGGAGATTTAAAACAAAGAGTGATATACTGATCTCCACAATGGTTATGCTTAAAACGGGTGCCCCACATAAAGAAATGATCAAGACATGAGCAAAGCATTACTTATCGCAATAGGCGAGCAAATAATTCGGTACCACTTAGCACAGTGAAGGGCGTCGTCCTCCTTGAAAATTTGTTGGCCACAAGCAGTACGTCCACGGTTCACTTGTTTCCGACCTCTTCTTTAAGCTATTGGATAGTGCTGTGTTGATGTGTTAAAGATTAAAGATGACGAATCATGCTTAAACACTATCTGATTATTTCTGACTGGAATGTTTCTCCTATATATGTTTTTTTTTGCGAAGCATCTTGCAGGATGTAAGCAAGCTTCTGTTAACACCACATACCTCGGTCAGCGTAAAAACTAGTTGCGCTGAATTTTTTTTGAAACATCTTGTGATTTGCAGGAGGAATACCTGTGTCATACGACATAAATCAACAATAAATAGGCCCGAGGAGTGCTTGAAGCCTGCCGAAAAAATTCTACCGCATCGGCTAGCAATATGCATGTACTGGCTTACAGCTCGACATAATTCAATAATAAATACGCCCCAGGTGATCAAACTTGTACGAGTGCTTGAAGCCTGCTGCGAAAATTCTACCGTTTTATAATAGTATCTCGGGCTCTACGCCCCAAAAACTATGCCATATGATCATGAGAGACGCCGTATTGAAGGGTTCCGGAAATTTCGACCATCTGGTGTTCTCTATAACGTTCACTGACATCGCACAGTACACGGGCATCTACCATTTCAATTCCATTTAAATGCGACCACCACGGCCAGTATGAAACCTGCGATCTTTGGGTGAGCAGCTGGGCACCGTAGCCACTGTTCCACCGACGTGGACAAATATTGTATCGTACTGGCTAGCGCTATGCCCGTACTGCCAGATTCGTAGGTTGTGTTGTATATCCCTTTTAGTACCAGCATAATAACATAACATGTGTTTTATGATGAGCCTCTGTCTATGTTTCCCGTCCTTGTTTTTTTCTTTTTGATATGCAACTGCTTCCCTAAAAAACATTCACCCTATTTTTCCCCTCCTTACTTCGTTGATTAAGGCAATTGTTGTACGTAAAGAAGAAGGGGAAAGGAAATGCAGAAAATTTAATCAGGTTGAACTCGGTCTGCTACTTTACGCGGGAAAAGGAAGAAAAGAATGAAAAAAAAATAGAGAAAGAAAGAGAGGTAAAGTCATACGCTAGCACGCATAGTAGCAGCATGTACCACGCATGCCCAGAAAGTAATACAACTGCGAATAGTCGCAGAGTGCAGGTTGACGTCGACTGTCTTAGATGAAGTATACACTGACACCCACGATGCGAACGTGTGCGTCACCCCGCCGCGGTGGTCTAGTGGACAAGGTACTCGGCTGCTGACCCTCAGATTGCGGGATTGAATCCCGGCTGCGGCGGCTGCATTTCCGATGGAGGCGGAAATGTTGTAGGCCCGTGTGCTCAGATTTGGGTGCACGTTAAAAAGCCCCAGGTGGTCGAAATTTCCAGAGCCCTCCACTACGGCGTCTCTCATAATCATATGATGGTTTTAGGACGTTAAACCCCAGAAATAAATCAATCAGCGAACGTGTGCGGCATCCAGTTGCCGCTTAGCTGCAGGGTAACGTCGTTCACCTGCTCATGACGAGTGATCCGGCCAGGGCGTTGAATGATACCGCGCCGGACACGAGCATGGCGCCGTCGAGTCCGAACATGTCCACGAGCAGCATGAACATCACGGGGTACACGATGGCCGGCAGCGCGAATGCTGCGTGGATGAAGGACAGGGCCTTGTGACGCTGCGCCTTGAAGTGCAAGCACACGGCCGTCTCGTCCACGACAATGGACAGCGCGGCGCCAACACCTGCGGCGCCACATGCGAGGCATTAGTCGTCAATGACGTGGCCAGCGAGGATATGGGATCTTCACTTGAGACATAGCTATTTAGCACAAAATTAATAAAAGAAAAAAAGAAGGACAACAGGCAATGCCACGTCCTGTCGCAGAGCTTTTATGATGGAGGCTTTCTGAAAGACCTAGATATATAACTGTCACCATCACTAACGCTCACGTCCTCAATCAGGGTCCAAGCATTATGCATAGATGACTAAAAAGATAAGCTGAAACTTGTCTCGTCGTTTTGCTTTTCCAGCCTTGCTCGACTCGCTGCAAACTGCGCTGCTTCGCACCACCCCCCTCCCCGCCCTCCTCGTATACCTCTTTCGGTATAGTTGTGTCTTTCTTTCTCTCTTTAATCTCTTTTTTTACTTGTTGTCTCGATTGGTTCGGAGTTACCGAATACCGCCCGGAAAAAGTGCTTCTGTACACGGGTTCTGGGAACGAAGCGGAAGATGAAGACGACGACGACGATGCAAAAGAGGTCGAAGAAAGCGTGTGCCTGCTCGTCGGTGGCGTGTGACGTCACAACACTTGCGCCCATGCACACGTGTTCTAGGAGTGACGTCACCGGCTGACGTAGTCTTTTCTGCCCAAAAAGTTCCACCGTTAATCATAATTTAAATGGATCAGCGAGCACACACAAGATGCATGACCAGGTTTAATAAAATATAAACTAGCCTAATCCCACGCTTTACTTGATAGAGACTCCGACCAACAAGAGATTTGTTTAAAAAACATGTTTCCCGACGTAGAACACCTGAAGCGAGGACATAACTTGCCCTGAAGCGTCTGGCTAACAAAATGAGCATTGTTTTTTTCTTCGAGCCATACAGTTTTCTATAACTACACTAAAGCAAACTCGGGCGCTAGTGCCTATGGGAACTCCAACGCATGGCGTTTCGACCGACATGGGAATGACGGGTAGCATGAATTTGCCTAACATTCGCTCTTTGGGCTCAGTTTGGCTTCGTGTGACTTGAATGCGCTTTGCCACAAAACAAGCTTCAGCAGAAGTTCAGCAGTTACACTTAGACCCGTTTCGAAATTGCAAAGTTAGCTTTCCTGCTACGCCGTTTCAACAACTAATGACGGCCAGTCACTTACTGCAAATACACTGTTTAAGCGCGCTTTGTTAAGTCGGCTCTCTTGATGTCAACCGTCATATTGAGCAAGCCCCAACGCATTTAACTAGGACCGCGTCTCCGCTTGCAGCACGATAGGTGCCGCGATTACTTGGGCAGTTATGTGCTGCACAGAAGCGCACTTGCGAATTATGAAAAGGGTTCAATAAATTGGCTCACTAAGTTCACAACGCTCCGTCTTTTTTTTTATTGTGACAGCAAATATACAGACACTTTGAGCTTGATTTTGCTGCCGGCATCGGCGTCGATGTCATGCACCGTATATGTATACGTATCTATATATATAAAAACGCAAGAAACAAAAAAAATCCAGAAAAACACTCCGGCGCGCGGAATTGAACGTGGGATCTCTGCGTCGTGGAAGCGACGTGTTAACCACTGAGCCCCCCCCGGAGCACATCCTTAACGCTCGAACGGCAAGCTACTTATATCTACCACTAACCGCTGCTCACGAGTATATCGGAGGGAATAGTGTTTTCAGCATTAGCAGCAAGATGACGCAAAGAGCGCACGTCGCCACAGTGCGCAGCGGCGCCCGCTCTAATCTCCTACGCGTACTTCGCCAAGCGAGATAAGGCGCGTGACGGAACGACGCTCCCTCACGTGCCCTAATTTCCCGGTGGCGAGGAGGGGAAGGTCGTACGCCTTGGCTCATTTTGGTGTGCAAAAGTGCGCACTTTTCAGACACAGCAAAGTAAGTAACAAACGAGACGCTTATTCGAGTGCACACGTACCTGTGAGTACGTTTTGTGCGTGAAGAACGCGGGGCATGTTTCCATCTGCTTTCAAATCTGCGCGTGATTTTTCAATTCGTTGCTATCGCGTTCATTGCTTCGCCTTTCCGGCAAAGCTGTGTGTTTTTGATTAAAACAATCACAAAAAGTAGCAATAAACAAAGCCACAAGTGCGTTTGAAGCCCGCAAGCACAAAAAACTAGGCAAATCCGTGTACTACTCATCATTCGCATGGCCGTTGAATGATCGCGGCACCAGAGCACCCTCTAGTTACATTTAGAAAACTGTATGCTTGAAACAACTATCAAACCTCACTTTGTTACATTGAGAAGATGGGTTATACACAGTGATAATGTTAACAGTCAAGTTTCGACCTATGTGCAAACTGAATGTCATCACTGAAATAGAATAAAAAGAAAGCTCTATAGACGCACCGCAGCAGAGTCCAATCACTGGCACCATAATGGAGAGGTCGCTCAGGAAGAAGCACACTATCGGTCCTACGCCGATGAGCAAGGCGCCTGCAGCAGACAGCAGCTTCAGCGGCACGTTCCGGCACAGCAGTGTCGCCACGGGTGCTGCAAATGTCGGTGTGAATGTTTGCAAAGAGCCTATAAGGGGACGCTACGACCGCTAGTCGGAACGGTAGTTGATTCCGGCCAAGGTAGCACCGAGCAAAATTATTTAAAAATTAGTGCTGGAGAAAAAATTCTTGTGCGAGTCGAAAATATCACCCCTGAAAAATATAAGCCGTGGCTGCCACCTTAAGTAGGAGCAATATAGAAAGTTAGCCGACGGCGAAGATTTGTTCTTGCACAAAAGACAATTCAGTATTGTTTCCCCGGTAAGACATGGCAACTTTTCCTAGCCAGGTGCTGCTCTTAAAGTGCGTCTTTGAGAAGTTAGAACGTTTCGAAAACTTTAGGAGGAAACGATGACCTCTCTTCTGCCGATAAAGCATGCGAGATCTTACATTCCAAAAATTCTACACAGCGTAGGTCTCAAAGCTCCAGGCAATATGTATGACATTAAAAAAAATCATCATTATAAACAGGCATGTACTACAGAAGTAGGCTATTTCCTACTACTCAACGCTAGTTCACTGAAAATAAAGGCATTAGTTAGCCTAAGGAATGGCTGCGAAGTGATGGCAGTGAGTCAAAGACCCCAAAGGTGGACAACGAAGGAGTACTATAGGAAAGGGAAACGCAACAGTGGCTGCGAGAAGACATCCAAGTGAGGGAAGCCTTACGTGAACGACCACGTGTCTTTGTCGTGTCTGCGGCTTTCTGTGGTTACACTCGAACCTCTGTGCACTGAGAAATCAACCTGGAAACAACGTATCTATCTATCTATCTATCTATCTATCTATCTATCTATCTATCTATCTATCTATCTATCTATCTATCTATCTATCTATCTATCTATCTATCTATCTATCTATCTATCTATCTATCTATCTATCTATCTGTCTGTCTGTCTGTCTGTCTGTCTGTCTGTCTGTCTGTCTGTCTGTCTGCCTGTCTGTCTGTCTGTCTGTCTGTCTGTCTGTCTGTCTGTCTGTCTGTCTGTCTGTCTGTCTATCTATCTATCTATCTATCTATCTATCTATCTATCTATCTATCTATCTATCTATCTATCTATCTATCTATCTATCTATCTATCTATCTATCTATCTATCTATCTATCTATCTATCTGTCTATCTATCTATCTATCTATCTATCTATCTATCTATCTATCTATCTATCTATCTATCTATCTATCTATCTATCTATCTATCTATCTATCTATATATATATAGATCTCTATCTAAGGATAGATCTTGACCTATAGATAGATAGATAGATAGATAGATAGATAGATAGATAGATAGATAGATAGATAGATAGATAGATAGATAGATAAATAGATAGATAGATAGATAGACGGATGGACGGATGGACAGACAGACATACAGTTGGGGTTCCAGTGTTGGCTCCTCTGCTTTCATTCTTATGATTGAGCAAGCCATATTAAAGCGTTCCTTGACCCCAGAGAAATACATTGATGAATTATCTGCTCGAATTTGAACTCATGCTCCATTAAGCACACTTAATTTCTATAATACTGATGTCTTTGCCATAACGTGAGTGCTGATGTTACGTCAGACCATTAAGCTACTCTTTGAACACCAGTGTAGTCGGCGTTGTGGTAAGCTCACGATGTGCACACAACTGAAGTGACGAAAACACACCGATCCATCTCGGTACACTTTGTTTGAAGGCAAAGAAAAAAAAAATAGAACGCTACCCGTCCATTGTTTCACATTAAACCGATTCTCACGATCCGTGGAATCTGCCGAATTTCCCCAGCTCCTTGACACCACGTAGTGCCTCCAGCCACTGCAATATCATTCATTTCACCGAAGGATCACACTGAGAGATAACACACAATCAGGGATCATTTGCGCCACCGTTGCCTTGAAAAAGAGTACAAAGTTCTATTTGTGCATGTGTCCGTGCTTCTGTCCGGACCGGATGCACGAACGGATGGACAGATGGACGGACGGATGCTTTGCCCTAGTCATCATGATTCGCTTCAAGGATATGCTATGAATTTTACACCACTCACGTACACACAGTTCAAAGGGATAGGACTGGCCATTGCAGATACGTCATGACTGAACCAAACTGGATTCAATTTATGAAAAAAGTTGGGGACGTTTATATTTACGTGCTAAAAAACCCCATTTGTAAGCACAAGTGCACCCGTGTAGCCACTGACAAGGCTGCCTGGATCGGGCACGCACGGCGGTGTTTCTCCAGCCATTCTATTCAGCGCGCGCCCCATTAAAAAAAATGTAGTCGAAGAAGTTCCGTCGCGCGCCACGACGCGGTGCTCTTTACAGACGACGCAGATTGCGCCGCACCGTAGACATGCTTGGAGAAATTCATGTGGTGACTGAAATAAAGGAACGCTAATATGTGTTCTTAATCGGGCTTGACACAGTGACTGTTGTTCTCTGACGCATGCTATAATCGAGACACAGCCAATCAGTGTGAGGCGACTTCGTGTGGCGCAGCTTGTTCGCAAATTTAGCCTCCATGGCACACGTATTAAGCCAACTGACTACGTGAACTGCCTGATTTCCATTCTTTGTTTTAGCAATTTTTTCTCCCACTGCCGCCTGAATCGGTGCGCGTCAATTTAGGCGTCCTTGTACTCTTAAAAGGAATTCATTTTGTTCTTGTCGACCCTGCAAATACAGTTATGTTACCCAGTCTAGCTCTGTTGTCACAGCATCAAACTGCTGGAAAACTAAACCACAGTGCTGGCAATCGTACAGTAATTTTCACCTACATGATTATCGGTGAAATTTCGTTGCGGGCACGACACTTAGCATTTCTAAGTTCTCATGGTACGACAGTGTTGCGAATGTGAATTTTTTATCTAAGCGCACGCCGCATGTAGGCAAATATGAACGTGAATATGATGGGCGATGCTAGTCGCCTGCGAAATATAGAACGCCAGAGATCGGTCACCCCATCACCAAAGTACTTTGTTTCGCTTAGGTGAATCTTCTCTTTTTAAAGAACGAAATTGTTAAAGAGCTTGTTTCGCAGAAATTATGTCGTCAGCGTCTGTGTGTGAGCGGAAAAGTTGCGTTGGCCGTGAGCGAAAATTCTAGCTATATGCAATGAAAATGGCGTTCGCGATTCGGCCTTCCTTACGGTAAAGTGTGGGTCTCCGCCTAGAAGTGAGGAGTTCGTGCTAGCGATTGGGGAGGTGGTTGTGTGCGTGTGTTTTTCCGCTGCGTATGTGTGCGCGAGTGTGTGTGTGCCCACTTTTGTGTGGGGTCTAGTGTGCGTGTACCATGTGTGTGTGTGTGTGTGTGTGTGTGTTTGTGTGTGTGTGTGTGTGTGTGTGTGTGTACTCTTCAGTACGTCTATGTGCGAATGTGCGTGTGGGTGCGCGCGTGCTCGTCAGTCTGTGTGTGCGCGCTTGAGTGTGTAGGTGAGTGCACACGCTCACGCGTGGGTTTTTTTTGTGCCTGCGAATGTGTGTCTGTGTGTGGCATAAAATTTCATACAATAACACCTAGAGGAAAATCTGGCGCTAGTGTTTACACATGCTTCCCGCCGCGTGCTAATCTAGTGGCTAAGGTACTGGGCTGCTGACCCGCACATCGCGGGATCGAATCCCGGCTGCGGCGGCTGCATGTCCGATGAAGGCGGAAATGTTGTAGGCCCGTGGGCTCAGGTTTGGGTGCACGTTAAAGAACCCCGGGTGGTCGAAATTTCCGGAGCCCTCCACTACGGCATCTCTCATAATCATATGGTGGTTTTGGGATGTTAAACCCCACATATCAACCAATCAATCTACGCGTGCTTCTTCAGCGGCGCTTGTACCCCCATGGAAATTATGGGAAGTACAGGCTTCGGATCTGCTTCATATAGATTACGTTCTTGAGATTCACTACGCTTGTTTGCAGAGTGTAAAACAAAGTGATACGAAGTTATGTTTAATTGAAACTTGCTTCATATTGCTTCATATTGAAACTTCTTTCATATTTCAAGTGTGTCTGTTCAAGTGGTCTGCCCCCAACGCACCTCTCGTTTTCAAATAAAAAGAGCATGGCGGTGGTGGCGGTGCGTCTGCTTTGCGTCTTCGTCGTTTTGCAGTTGATTACAACGAGCTTTGTCAAGACGCACTAACAACAAACGTGAACTGGCATGGGACGCTACATTTATGCGAATCGGTGAGTGGACAACGCTTCACCTAAACTGTCAAACACGACCTATGCAGCTCTATCATTGCAGTAAATTTAGAGGCCTAGCAGTTTTCAGCTTCTTTGATGAACAAAGGTGCAGCTTCAGTCTATTGCACCCACTCTACGCGAAGAACAAAACTGAAACTGTAGAAAAATATTCGTAGACAGTTCACTGGCTAATGCTATCCAATTCAAAGCCTGTACTTCCCATAATTCTCATGAGGGTACACGATAGCAGCGCCAGATTCCTCATACGTATTATTGTATGAAACTCTATGGTGTGCGCTCTTTCGTGAGTGAGTTTGTGAGAATGTGAGTGTGTGTGAGCACGCTCGTCTGTCTGTGTGCGCGTGTATTCGTTTGCACATGTTTTTGTGCATGTTTTCGTGTCACTGCGTGTTTCCACACGTGAAAAAAAAAACACCTCCTACATGTACTTCAAACGCTAAGCGCCATCTGTGTCTATGCAAACTACCGATGGTTACGCTCAGTTAGAGACGCGTGCCAAACCAGAGTGTTTCGCGTAGGAGTACATTTGCAGAAAGCTCCGCTCCTGTAGCTTTCCCTTCATTGCTGAAAAAGATTGTCTGTGAGTAAAGCAGGTAAGCTTGCTCAGTGAAGGCCTCAATACCCCAAGGTATCTCCGCCAACATCCACGATGCGGCTCAGCTATCCTTCGTATCGTTTCCACTCTTCTGGAAGCGGTAGAAAAAAAAATTCAGTAAATCATTCGGGTAACTTCGCTCTCCTGCGAACTTTCTTTATCTCATGTGCTGCACAGGAGGGCACCAAAATTTTCTTGAAGACTGGCTCACGCATGTGTTCGC